TTCTTTTATTATATTCTCCTCCTGAAGGACATGATTGGGCATGTCTGACAGAAAAACATCTTGTTCTCCACAAACGTAACATCCATGGTAACATAAAAACGGCGACTGGAGGGATGGCAACATCGGTAACCCTAATGTTGAGGTGCAAAACCCACAAAGACACATCGGAGGGCACACAAATCCAACTTGGTCCGGTGATATTTATTGAAATGGACATACGCCACACAACCAAAAATGCGCAGAGTGAAATTAAGATGGTAACAAACAAGAACATGAGCATCCAATGTCTGAAGTGGTGTTTTAAAACCTAAAACACGTGAAGGCATACGATTAAGAAGGTAGATAACATATTGAATAGCTATGGTCCAAAGGGCTTGGGGAACAAGCCCCTCAATAAGGAGAGCTCGGGCAGTCTCAAGGATATGGTGATTTTTGCGTTCAGCCACACCATTATGTTCTACAGTCTGCGGACACTTATTTCATAGAGAATGTCTTTTTCAATGACGAAGTTTGCGAGTATCTGGTTAACAAATTCCCCTCAATTATTTGAACGAACAATTTTTATCGAACAAGAATATTAAGTTTGAATCATTTGGTAAAAATTCTTGAATAAAGAACCAACTTCACTTTTATGCTTCATAACATAAAACTAAGTTAACAGAGTACAATCATCAATGAAGATTACAAACCACTGAACACCAAAGACAGTAGTAATCGGAGATAGACCCCAAACATCTGAATGAATTAAATCAAAAGCAGATGTGCTTTTATTCAAACTAGGTGGATAAAAAGTTTGGTGACTTTTTGCAAGGATACAAGTCTCATACTGAAATCAGAAATTTTTACTATACTAAATAGAGATGGAATCAAAGACTATAAATAACCAAAGGAAACATGACCCAACCGCCGATGCCATAACCAAATCTTCTTGTGCTTCTCACTCATAACGCCTCAAACTTGATGAACATGACCTAGTGCAATGTCATCCATATAGTAAAGCCCCCATATCTTAGTACCACACCCAATGATCCCTATGGCCTGAACATCCTGAAGCAAACAAAAGGAAGAGAACATGAGCACTCAACAGTCTAACTGTTCGGTAACTTGCCCAACAAATAATAAATTATAGGACAAAGCATGAAGAAGCAAAGTTTTATGTAAAGAGAGGGTATGAGTAAGACTGATGGAACTAGCCTCAGTGACTGAGTTAGATTCACCGTTGGCAGTAACCACACTTGTTTTGGTAGGAGCATGCATAGAAGGAAAAAAGGATTTATCATAGGTCATATGATCAGTACCACCCGAATCGATAATCCAACTTGTGTCTCGTTGGTCAAAAAGCACCAAAGCTTTTCCCTAGTTACATTCGCAGTCAGTGGGCTCTGGAATGGATAACTGAGAGAGAACAGTAAGAGAATCATCAACTGAAGGCAGTGCCGGCGATCGGTCTGGAAGACTGGCAAGCGGTGGCGACAACAGCTGCACGCTCCCGCCATTCTTTTTCTTCGCTTGCACCGCCTTTCGTTACTTCTGGCGTTCAAGAAACCACTCAGGAAACTCATTCTTGTGAAAACACATGACCTCTATATGACGGTTCCTATTACAGTAAGTGCAATGCATGTTTTCTTTTTCCTCAAGGGTTGGACGGGGAAAAGAAATACTAGCAACATGGGCTTTGGAAACCATGGTAGCAGAGGATTCAGTCTTTCCATCTTTCTTGAGCGTTGTCTCCCGACGTTGGGCCTCTTTATGAACAAAAGCAAACAACTCTTCTAATTTTGGCAATGGACTCAGCCTCAACAAATCTCCCTAATTTTATCAAACTCATCATCTAGACCAGTAAGAAAATCATAAATACTGTCTTTCTATATGTTGGCCTGTCGAATCGTCACATCATCAAGGCACTTCATGTTGATTGGACGATGGCGGTCTAGTTCCAACCAAACGCTCTTGAGCTCAGCAAAGTAGGATGCAATATCGCGACCTCCTTGAGTAATACGGGTTGCTTTACACCATAATTCATAAATCTGCAACTCATCAGACGCGTTATAATATATATGGGTTATACTCTCCTAAACATCTTTAGCTGTTGGTAGATCTAAGAACAAGTATACTAAATCAGGTTCCATGGTTTTTATCAATCATCCTTTAACAATGGAGTCGTCAATACACCAAGAATCAAAGCCTCTTCCCTGTCAGATAACCTCTTTTTCCCTAGCTTGACACATGAAACAACATCATCTTTGACCAAGTACTGTAGTTCTTTCCATTCAACTGTATGGTGAATCAGGTAGGGGAAGTATCATTGTGAACTGTAACAATTGGTTGCATCATAGCTAGAATTTTTTGGGTTTCTAAAGCACTGGAAGCACTGGATTTGAGGCTGAGGTGGGGTTGTTTAGGGTATCTTTGAAAGCCATGCAGGAGAGAGAACAAGTTTGGATGGATTGGTGTTGTAGGAATCTTTTGCTGCACTAGGTTTGTGACGACAAGGGCTTAGCCGCTGTTTTGTGGAAGCTAAGGTTTATTTTTTTTAAGAGACCGGGATTAACCGGCTTTGATACCAACTCAAACTAAACATGAATAATTGTAATTGATATTACATTTCTCCAAGAGGAAGATATATAAACAAGTACAAGTTGACTAACTAGGAAAAGTAATTAGCTAATTATAAAGAATTCCTACTAGGTAATGATTCTGATTAAATAACGTGAATTACACCCAAAAATCTAAAATCATGAGATCCCTAAATTATGGCTCACGCCAATGTAAACCTCTAGATTCAGTTTTCAGATTGACGAGTGAAATCTTCTCTTTACTCTGTCGTTTATGTATGAATTCCAACCAATCAAGTCAATTTCAAGTGTCATGTCAGCTTTGTCGTTTTATGACCATCTCAATTACTTCTAACTAACAGAGATGAAAATTCCTCTTCAATGTGCAAAAGAAAAGTTTCTATTCTATGGTGTTCCTTGTTTCTGGCCCCTGATCTGAGTCACATTCTTTAACTGAAAGAGACATTGCCGTATCCATGGGTTCTTTGCACTCACAAAGAACACCTTTGTAATGACTAACTATTTATATTTGGGGTTACAAGAAGAGCACAAAAAGTAACTTAAATTGTTCGTGTGACCTATTTCCATGAATATACGCAGCTGCTCTTACAATGCAATAATCCCTCCAAAATATAATTTGCAAATGCAGTCAAACTTTTTGCTTTCAAAACTGATAGTTGCATGTATTATAACACAAAGAATTATATTTAAGTTTTTGGAGTCATTATATAAATGTTCATTATCACCAAACAATTGTATACTTCCAATCCCATGTGGATCGAGCTTTTGCTTTTGTACACCTCGACCATATAAATGTATTGGTTTTTATTTAAAAATTATTACGCTGAAATTTGAACTCGTAGAAGAAAATGTAACAATGTCCTTGTCAGTGTCTTTTCTTAGAGGGTTCTCCCGCATAAATTTTGTCAGTGTCTTTTCCTTAAAAAAAAAAAAGAAACAATTTCACAACGTACTTCGCACGTTGTAGAACTTAAAGACATCACAACATGCATGTTTGTGTTGCGAAATAAGGACCGCCTATAATATTGCGTTCCAGCTCTAAGTCGATAAGGACCACCTTTGTCCTCTAGGGTTTCCTCTAGGGTCTTACCCAGTATACACTCATTCTTTGTAAAGTGGATATAAACCATTTGTATTGATTCTTTGTAAGTCTATATAAACCATTTGTATTGATTCTTTATCAAGCAAGGCACTTACACATTTTTCGAAAACATTTCATTCTCCGACAGTCTCTCTTTCTCTCTTACATCTCCTCTTACATTACTGAAACTTTTCCATTTCCAGCAATCTTTTTTTTTGGTCGAATTCTAATCTCATAAAAGAAAACCATGAACGTTGATTATGGTCATCGCCCTCAGCAGTGGTCGCATGATCTTTGTAACTGTGGAGAAAATATGAGTACATGTAGGATATAAATTCTCTCTCCGGCCAAAATTCACTTTGTCTATTGTAGTTACCTTACCTGACAAGTTAAATTTATACCAAGTAACATTTTTAAGCACTTCTTTTATAAATATATATATCTACTCAACCCACCCATTTGGTGAAATTGATCTTGTGGTGTAGGTTGCATCACATGGTGTCTCCCATGCATCACCTTCGGCCAAATCGCAGAAATTGTCGACGAAGGAAGAAATTGTAAGTGTCACAAGACCAAAAAGATTTCCCAAATCTATAAACATGGCGAATTTATTATTTTTCCCTTAAAGTGGTTGTATATATAACTGGTCTCTCACATTTAGTTCTCTAGTAATAATCACGTGATCATTTAGTGTGAGAGAACTGTTGCGATGCATAGACTGTTGTATATGGAAAAGTTAACTTCTCCTTGCACCGACTATGCCTGACTTTAATTATTAAGATGATTAGGTCAATCGTGTGTTACTAATGGTTGGATTTTGTAATTTTAGCTTGCCTTTGCCATGGCGTAGTGTACGGGTTGTTGATGACGATTCAGTGCCAGTGGGTCTACTCATGCACGTATAGAAAGAGATTGCGCCAAAAATTTGGTCTGCTGGAGGAGCCTTGCGGTGATTGTTGTGTTCATTACTGCTGTCAACCGTGTGCCCTCTGCCAAGAACATGCTGAGCTCAAATCTAGAGGCTTCGACCCCTCCAAGGGTTTTAAACTAATCCTACACCACACATATATGTCGTCATCGTATAGTTATGACCTTAAATTTATCATTATCCGCATCATTTACATCAATTTTTATTTTGTATTTTTTTTTAATGATGTAGGTTGGATTGGGTCAACAACTACTGCTCCACAGGTGCCTCCTTCCATGACCAAATGATCGCCAATATACTTGGCAGACAATTAATGTCGTGTTTGTCTTCTCCATGTCTTTTTTGTTTTTGTTTGATGGAATAATTTGTTTTGTGTTGTATGAATATATATTGATGTTGATAAAGTGCGTGTATAAGCGAGGATGTTCCAGATCCAACGTATTGTAATGAATGTGCCGTTGTTTGTTTTGTATTCTAAAAAAGTATTATTAGAACATTGTAATTTGTAATTGAATAAAAGCAAGAACTGGCATTCCTGTCAAGTTTTACACCGTCAAAATATGAATGTTGATCATGATCACCATCGCTCGCAGCAGTCCGAATGGCACGGTGGCCTTCCTTATGACGTGCAGAAGATGCTACAACCTGTAAGAAGTATTATCCCTCTGCTCAGCAGCTGAGCTCCATGATGACACAAAGTGTGGCCTTACTTTTCCAATGTCAAGTCCCAGCTGCAGCTACCATAACACAAATTCAGCACTTTTGCCATACTTGAACCTTAGAGAGATAACTTGTTAACATGATCAACTACAAAGAAAATCCTATAGCTTATGGAATTGTTGTTCACATTACAAGGGAAAGATTTGACATTTCACAGATCTTAGGTGTATTTTAACAAGCCTTCAAGAAGGACATCCAATGATCAAAAGTAATACCTTCAATATTGTTTCAAAATCCCAAGCAGTTGGCTTTTAAATTAAGCCTCACACTCATAACTTACGCACCTATGAGCTCTCAAACTGAAGAAAGAAAACAGAGCAAAACAGGGGAGGGAATATTGTGCCCTCAGTGCTTGTGCTTCACCAGCATGGCCTTCAAGTGCCACACAAATCTTTTACTAGTGAACGAAATTAAACATTTGATACCCAGAACCCATTTCACTAAGACATGCGAATCAAACGAGACAATAATAAGAAAGAAGAAAAAAAAGAGAAAGAAATTAAGAAATTACCTTTTCATTGCATTGGTGGGTCGTAGGGTTCTCCAATTACAACAGAAGGTACATGTCGAATTTTACAGAAATCCTCTCCATCTTCCTGAATCCTACTATGGAGTTCTCTAGGCATCCCGAAAATGGTTAATTCCTTGAGATTAGTAAGATATGTCAGCCCATCTGGAAGCGTCGTCAATCCACTGCAAAATCCTATTCGCAATCGCCAGAGACTAGGCATGGCTCCTTCCTCTACCCTCCACTCTGTTATTTCGTCCATACGAAAAACGGAAAGAAATTGTAGGGAAGGAAAGCCTCCTTTGGAGAAAACCAGTATCTTTGTATTCTCTTCAAATACTTCACTTATAAGGAGCAAAGTTGTTAGGTTTGGCAGCTTCTCTAGTATTCCCATTTGGTCGTCCTTGAGACTACAGCTACACAATTCTAACTTGGTGAGGTTTGGATAGTTGTGGAGCTCTTTTGGTAATACTGCTGTTGGCCCATCCAGCTTCAGTTTATATATACGACGACAACTTGATACTATTTGATTACCCTGCTCCTCATAACTTGTATTCCTTACAGAATAATAACCGTTGTATACAAGTAGAGACCGGATATGATTAAGTGTGCTGCCTACAGATTTCAAGATTTCCTCCAGATTTTCCAAGGGAAGTGACAATCTTATCTGCAGTTTTTGGAGATTGTTTAATCCAGCAACATCATTCAAATCACAATACTCACTTGAAAGAAAATCTAAGGTCTGTAAATGGCCAAGAGTAGATAGCTTCAGGTTACCGCTTGCTGTGTAACGTCTGGGTAAATATAAATGCCTTAATTGCTTCATTTTCCATATCACATTTGGGATGAACAATTCTACATATCGAACACGGAAATCAAGAGTTTGCAAGCATATCAAATTACCTAGGGATAATGGAAACCTTTTTATTTTGCTATCTCTCACACTTAGAAACCTCAAGTGGACCATATTTCCAATTTCACTTGGCAACTCTACTTCTACTTCATCAACATCTTCAACCTTCAAAACTCTAAGCACTTTGAAATCCGTCAGTGGAGATAGTAATACTTTTTCACTTCTTGGCCTCCATTCTCCTAAGACAAAGTATAATAGAGATCTGACGTGGCCATTTGTTTCATCTCTTGATGAAACCAACCTATCAGCATTCTCATCCAAGTAGATTGCAAGTCTTCGAATTTTCCCCACTGGTGTTCCCTTGGCTACCATAGAAGAAGTAACAGGATTAGTTGCCTCATTTTCCTGCGTAGAATAGCCAATCCGGAGAAAGCTTTCCTCTTCTGCCTTTAACAAACACAAGTCTCTTATAAGGTCATGGATTTGACACGTTTTAATTGTCCCAGTTGAACCGCTTCTTCCCACTTGAACCACACACCTTTCCACCAACTCAGTTAAGCAATTGTGCGCTATATTCTCCATTGTTTCCCCTAGACTATGTCTTTGTTGTCTCAATGAGATAAGACCTTCTGCCATCCATAACTTAGTCAATGTGCTCACTGAAATCTCACGGTCTTCAGGATAATGGCCTAAATATAAAAAGCATGGTTTTAAGTGGTACGGTAGGTCATCATAGCTCAATGCCAACACCCATGATGCACCTTCATATTCTTGTTCATGACCTCTGCCTCTCCTTATGTTTGCATATACATTCTCGTTTACCATCTCCCATTGTTTAATAGTGTTTTTTGTGGAAAGAACTCCGGCAAGCACAATGATGGCAAGTGGCAATCCTGCACAATGTCGAAGCAACTTCCTACCTAATTCTCTCATCTTAGAGTAAATTCCCGAATCTGAAAATAAGCACAGGAAAAACAGCAACTTGTAGTATGAGTAACCGTACTATAACAATTTATCATAAGGTATCCCTTGCTTAACGATTTAAGAACTACAATTAGAAAATGTAGAAAGTTTATCACTAGTGTCCTTTGTAATATTATAAGTTCGGATTCTATAAAAAGCATAATGCATAATGGACAAATGACAAAAATTAAATTTTGACAAACACGAAAAATATGTATGGGATATTTTTTCATTGGAACATACAAATTACAATATAATGATTTGATTCAGTTTGGTTTTGACAAAAATCACGGAGGAAATCGAACCAAATTGAATCAATTTAAGATGGTTTGGTTCGGCCGGTTTGGGCATAAGTCCAATTCTATTTACTTTTTGCATTTTTTCAACATTGTTAGCCTAATTAGAACAACAACACTGACTAGCCTTTTTTCGCTTTCCATTTTCTAGCATATCAAACCATCTTGAAACTCCCTTTAAAAAAAAATAAAACCATCCTAAAACTCAACATATAATTAAACTTCAAAGTTCAATAACTAAAATAGCAAAATATTCAAATATCAATAAATTCAAAGTTCCACGTCAAACTTCAAATTCAACATCAATATCTAGTTATTATCCAATGAGATGACTACACGTTCATAATAAAATATAAATAAATAAATATACAAGTGGATGGTTTGGTTTAGTTTAGGCCGGATTGCAAATGCTATAGACCAAACCAAACTATTTACGGTCCGATTCGATTTTAAAACCGTTTGACTTTTTCTTATCCAAAATCAAACCAAACTAGTAATTATGGTTTGAATCGGCCGATTTAGTTGGTTCGACCAAATTGATTCCCACCCACTTTGCTAAGTGCTCGACGATATTTGAAAACTGTAAACTCCTAACAATTCTGAGAAAAATAAATAAATAAATAAATATATATATATAAACCTTTCTATCATCAGATATAGGGCCTTCCAAATTTTGGAATCTCTTGGCCTCTATATAAATAAGAATAGAAAAAATATATATATATTAAGGGTGAGAAAAATACCGATATCAGGCCTTCCAAATATTGCTATCTTCTCTAATAGTGCCAAACTCTCATTCTCATTTAGTGGCTGGAGTTTGTGGAGGAAACAATTTCTGTTTGGGGGCAAAGCGACTGCTTCATAGCGTGTTGTAAGTAATATTGTGCTCTCTGTTTTCTCATTTGGAAATGCAACATTCAAAAAGTTCCATGTCTCGATACTCCAAATGTCATCAAGTATAACCAAACATCTCATTTCTTGCATGACACAAAAAAGCTTCTTTGCTATTTCATCATATGTCATTTCCTTAATATCTTGTCTTTGTTCCTTCGTAGCAGAAATGAGTTTAATGAAAATTCCTTCCCAAACATTTCTTATTTCACACCGTTGAGATACACACACCCAAGCAAAACTATGAAAATGTTGCCTAACAATTTTATGATGATAAACCTGTCTTGCAAGGGTGGTCTTCCCTAAACCACCCATCCCCCAAATAGATACCACTCGATGACGATTTTCATCTTTTACTAAATGCTTAACCAATTCTTCAACGTTGTACTCTAATCCAACAACATCACGTTCAATAACATGAGAATAAGTTCGCCTCAGTAGTCGTTGCCTCTCATGCAATTGCAAGAAAGATTCACCTCCAATCTCTGTTGGTACCCTTGCAATATTATAACTTTGCAAACTTAACCTCAAATTAGAAATTTTGGCAGTAATGTTCTCAATTTCTAACCCAATCTTTCGAACATCAACCCCTTCCCTGAAGATGCAGGCAAATCTTCTGAGAATATTCTTGATGCCCCTTTTCTTCTTGGAAGCCACTTTCAAGCCATAAGTTTCAATAACATCTTCCAAATCATAAGCAGCATCTCTAGTTTTGGCAACCCAAACTTGTACTGTTGCATCTTGTCCTTGTCTTGCATCTGCATCTTTGAGGAAGCCCTGCATCAATTGTAGCTCAGTTTGTGCAACCTCAACTTGATGGCTCACTCCAGACAAGAACTTGGCTTCTTGGGTGGCGAAGTCCCCGACCCTTTCGAGCACAAACGAAACAACTGCCTCAGCCATGCTATGCTCTCCTTCTTAACCTCTAGATTCAATTTTCAGATTGGTCAGTGAAATCTTCTCTGCACTCTTTCGTCTATGTATGAATTCCAGCCAATCAATTCAATTTCAAGTTTCAACCCAACAATATAACTCAGCTTTGTCGTTTCCTAACAACCTCAAGTATTGTACGTTTAACGACTAAGTCAGTCGTCTCCAATAATTTCCCCGAAGAATGCAACTTATCATCCAATTAATGCAAGCTTAACTTCTTTGTTAAATATTGGACCCAAAAAAAACATCTTCTTTGTTAAATAATTCTTTCATCCTAACACAGCTGTGACATGCCCTGTCGCTTATTATATGTAGAATGAATACTTAGATTTAACCTATCGCTTATTCTTTGAAAAAAAAAAGTGTAACGGGTACAAAATAGTAATAAGAACCCAGATATAAAACTAGTCTATGTTTAGAATATAAAAAATGTCTTTTTCCATCTTCTACAATATTCAAACGGAAAGTTTTTAGTCTATATTGGTGTTCCCTCTTTCCCACCTGCCTGCTATTTATTGCTTCTAGTCTCCAAAAATCTCTTTCTTTGCATATAGTTGAATATTCAATTGTAGTAGCCCAACAACTATTCAGATACATTGGGAAGAAACCCCAGGCAGGGGAGAAGGGAGGGCCACAACCACTATGGTAATTCCGCATTGGCATAGCCAACATTTTATTGCCGTCATGAGCGGAACTAATCCCAGGGATATCCTGGGCTGTAGCCCAGGGAGATTTTGGGAATAAAAAAATCAAACACACACACACACACACATATATATGCAGGGAGCTTCAGTTGAGGAATCCCTCAAATAAGAGGATACCCTTGTAGGGCCCACTTCGTATTGTATTTCACTAATCCAAACCGTCTATTTTGTAGATACTAATTCAAAGATCATCTCTACAAAAAATCACTTGAATCCGATATCATTTGACCACTCAATTGAAGTATTGAAATTTTAGTACTTTCTTGAAGCACCGTGTTCATTAATTTTGTAGGACACAATTGGATATCAAAACGGTTTGGATCGTTGAAAAAAAAATCGTAAGGGACCCTAAAAGGTGTCCCTCAACAGAAGGGGACTGATATATATATATATACTCAGGCTTCATGTGTCTTCTTCCCTTTGTTTCTTTTCTCTCTCCATGTAGGACAATTCTTCTTCCAATTATGTTTTGACCTATACTCAAAGCAACCTTCTTTCGCCTTGGATTTTGATCTTCCTCGATCGACCTCTCTCTCTAGACTTTGCTACAACACCTTCACCTTGAGAGACACCTTCGAGACGTTGAACCATTATGTCATGCGTCAGGATGTCTTGCATGACCTCTTCATACTTCAAGGTTCCCTTCACGAGCATAAGCGTCGTGCGAAAGTGTTTATAAGACGGTGGTAGGGATGTCAAGAACATTACAACCTTGTCTTCCGACTTATAAACCTCATTCATCTTCTGCAAGTCAGCAATACACATATTAAAAGTACTCACATGCTCCGTCATGCTTGCGCCCTCCTCCATCTTTAGAGAGTGAAGCTCCTCCTTCAAGAAGAGTTTGTTGGACAACAATTTTGCTGCAAACATTTTTTCGAGTTTCTCCAATTTTTGCTTCGCGGTGTCTTCCATCGCATTACACAACACATCGTCAATGGATCCTCTAGCAAGCTCATCTAGGTCCTCCCAATTCACATTTGTCATGGTTGCCGGCTTCTTTTCCTTGCCTGCCAAGACCTTGCTGAGACCTTACTGCTTAAGGACATGCTTCATCCTTCTTTGCCAAAGCGTGAAGTTCTCCATGTCGGTGAACGACTTCAACTCCACCTTCATACTCGACGCATATGGTGATTTCGTCTAGGAGCTTTCTCCTCCCTCCTTATCGCTTGCCATCGTCAACACACCGACGCTCTTAAAGTTATAAGAGCACTTGGGCATAACCTATACCCGCCGCAACTGCGGCTCTAATACCACTTGTTGTGCGAAAACACTCCAAGATCTTGTAGTTGATGGACTACACAACTATCACATGTTAACAAAACCTATGGCTAATGTGCCTATTTATATATCATAGGGCTTTAGTACAATTATACAAGGAACATGAAACTTAAAGGACCCCAAAACTAGGAAGAAATCCATCTTAATTCGCTAGGGATCCTCACTGGATTCGTGCCTCCTGCTCGAGGGCTTGGGTCAGAGCATGAATTCTTGCTCTGCCTCTCGAGCACCAGTGCCTGAGCAAAAAACCACCATTTTGCCGCTCGAGGTCCTACAGATTCCACTCGAGCACTAGAACCCAATCAACTCTTCTGCAGCTCTTTGACTGATCGTTTCCTCTGTTCCTTTCGCATCTTGAAGGTGAACCAACATCAACAACTCAAATATTTTCTTTCAATGTATTTCCATATGAAATTCCTTTCTCGTCCAGCCTTGTGCTTTTAGTGGCCATGTGTTAAACTTAAAATGAGGCCCTCACAATAATCTTTCAATAAAATATGCGTAGTCTAGTCCATATGAAATTCCTTTCCCGTATGGCCTTGAGATTTTAGCGGTCATGTGTGAAACTTAGGGTTCATGATCAATCCATTGAGGCAGGTGAGTTACAACAAGGGATCTTGACCTTCCGTAAAGAGGGAGAACGCTCTGACAATATGATTCGTGTGTGTTCGCACCACTTTGCAAAATCCAAGGGAGGTGTCGTATAGTAGTGTAGCTCAGAAGTCCGA